CACCATCACCATGGCCGCCGCTTCCACCCCTCCGCTGCAACCGCCGTCATCATCGCCATCGCCGCCACCACTACTGTCACTGCTACCACCGCCACTGTGGCCGCCTTCGCCGTCGCCACCGCCACCATTGCCGCCACGATCATTATCACCCACCACAACCATCACCGTCTCCTACCACCATCATTATCGCCCACCACCTTTTACTTTTATTATAATTGGTGCTTAAATTTATTTATTTTTTCTCTATGTTTGTGATTTGATTTTGAATATAAATACAAATATGTTTATTGTTTATTATTTTTTATTATTGGACAAAAAATAAAGCATTTTAATAAGACTGGTAATGGGTCATTTGGGGGCGACTTCATATCATTGTGTCTGAGTTGTGTTGCATCAAACTGACACAGAGTGAAGGAGAAGTGGATGGTACCAAAAATTTGTTTGGTTTTATTTATAATTTTTATAAGTTTTTTTTATACAATTTGAAGGTCATCCGTAGTTTTGAAATCATTTACAACTTTAAGAGTCATTTACAACTTTTGATATTACAATTTTTAGGATCGATCACACGTAATTCTAAAAAATTATAAATGACCCTTCAAAAAATATAACTTGGAATATTAAAGTTTTAATATGACTCCAAAAGTTATAAATTTGTATTTCAACCCACAAAAATTTTAAACTTTGACGATAAAATACTAATTTTTTTTCCGATATCATAGTATTCTCTAGAGTCAAATTCGTGTCGTGTATAATTAAATATAAAAATTTTCCCCTTATTAAATTAATCAACATTTAAGAATTGCCAACCTGGAAAACTGACAAATTAATGGGGGTATTTGGTTTGGTTTTACAAAACTGTTTTTTTATTTTCAAAACTCTAAAAACAGACAAAAATTTATTTGGATTGATTTTTGGTTCACCAGTTATCTGGAAAACACGGGGAAGTTTTTTCCGTTCGTTTTCGTTTTTTTTCCCCCTCCAAGCCCGATGTCTTCGTCTCTAAGGAAGTTTTTTTTTATTGATTGTCGTAGATCTGGTGTATATCAGATCTGATCTAGTGAATTTTTTTTCCTTTTCTTATATCAGATCTATTTTTTATTTTTATTTTTTTTATTCTAGTTTTGTAGATCTCTATGGCAGAACAGATGACTATAGGATCCTTTTTTCTTTTCTTTTATTTGTTGATTATGTGCCGTACTGGTTGTGTACTATATTTGTATATTCCACTAGTGCTTCTCTAGTACTGGTTGTGTACTAGATTTGTTTTTTTTTTTTTTTTTGTCAAATTTGGTTTTTACGGATTTGTTGATTCTTTTATAATAAATTTATGTTAGTATATTCCACTCGTGCTTCTGGTTATACATGTAAATGTTTTTCATTGATACGTAATGCTCTGTTTGATATAAATGATGGAAAGTAAGATGAATATACTTTTTATTCTTCAAAGATAGAAAATATAAATGATATATTTTTTTTCATTTATGTTTAGTTGGATGGATGAAAAATAAAAATGACTAATTTTTTTTTTTTTTGTGATGACTAAGATTAGAATTGACAATCGAGTCGTGTTGAGTCATAAAATTATGAGTCTTTTATATTTCATATTCGCTTGTCAGGTCATTTTCAAGTTCGTGTTAAGTTATAATCAAGTTCATGTCATAAAATTTGTGTCGAGCTCGAGTCGTATCATCGTGTTGAGTCGAAAATTTTTACTCTTACTTAAGATAAAAAAATAATTTTTTTAATTTAAATTTTTTATTTTTATTATTTATTTATTAATTTATATATATATATTATCATTATATTTTTATATGAAATTAATGTATACATTATATATATAAACAAATTAATCATTACCCGTGCCTGAAGGCACTATTTAACAAACAAAATTTTTTTACACAATTATCCAAATTAAAAAAGAATGGCCTAAAAATTTTCATACTAATTCTTCTTTTAAAATGAATCAAAATATATCACCGATCATGCCCTCCATATTACTAGAACTGTCGTAAAAATATATAAAACTCTTCAAAACAATACCACATATACAAATGCCTCTGAAAAAAAATACTAACTTAATTAATTGAAAGTTATAATCTTTAAGTAATAAATAAAATTTTGCTCATTTACAAGACTCATGAATTTATCACCTTTACCACCACTCAATCCAACAATAAAATATAATTATAAACACAATCACCATATTTTTAATCCACCTTATCCTCATGTAATAAATATCTCAAGCAAAAAAAAACAAATACTAATATAACTCAATTAAATTCACAATCTTAAAGTGATAAATAAAATAAACGAAATCTTACTCATTTTATAAAACTCATGAATTTATCACCGCTATCACCATTCAACCCTAAATTGAACAATAACATTATAAATTTAATTACCAAATTTTTAATCCTTCACATATAAATATACACAGAAATATATTTTCACACATTTATTTTTTGGCTACCAACAAATCTTCCTAACCAATAACTGATTTTATTAGAAATATAATAATGCGAATATTATAATAAAATAATAATAAATTTTTGTCTAATTAAAAAATAGGGTAAAAAATATGGCCTTCTCGTGAGTTTTGACAATATTATGTGGACACCTCTAAATATTTTATAAATAAAATGGAGTTCCTTGCGGTTTAAAATTTATTACACGGCGACCCCTTTCTGTCTCCCTTCCTTCAATATTGCTAACAAAAAGTGATGACTTTATCCCAAAAAAAAATTATTATTTTTATAATTGTCTTTCTCCAACTTTAGTACACACAAAAAATAAAATTTTAATAAAATAAAATATGAATTGATTTAATACCCAAAAAATTGATATAATTTAGTACCTCAACAAATTGATTAAATGAATTTTAATATTAATTTCATAACAACAAAACTTAATTTGATATTAATTCAACAAAATTGAATATAAATTAGACAAAATTAAATGTCAATTTTTGATAAAAATATATATTAATTTACAATTTAAGGTTCATTTCGTATTGAATATTATTTGTTGTTGATTAAACCAACATGAAATTGACCTTAAATTATAATTTTTTTTGTTGTATATAAACTTAAAATTTTGTATTTTAACCCATAAAATTTAAATACATATTTTTTCACACCGTAGCGTATTCTTTTTTACTATATCATTTGATAAATTTTCTGGTGATCAAGATTCAACCACACATACTTAAACAAAACCAATTGTTCACCCCCACTTTTTTTAAAAGAATCGCTCACCCTCGCTTGTTAAACTCAAAAATCTCTGGTTCACATGAAAATAAATGAAAGTAAATTAAAACGTTGACAAACAATTTTGAAAAATTGATAGTTCGAAATTTTTTAAAAAATTTAGTACCAAAATTATTACAAATAGAGCAAATATTAAAAAAAACAACCTAAAAAAATAATCTATATAAAAACCATTATCAACGAGAATTTTAGAAGAATTTAGGCCCTGAATTAATTAATACCTAATTTCAGGCAAAGATGTGAAAACTCAGATAAAAAAGTTCTCAAAACAGAAATAGGAGATGAGATAGTGTGTGTAAAACGTCTAAGAGATAAGAGAGAGAGAGAGAGAGTTATATGCGAGATAGAAGTGTTAGAGTTAAATCCAATTATGATCGTCAGATCAGTATTTATGAGATGATCTGAACCGTCTTTTATGTTAGAATTACGTTGTCTATTGTTTGTTACATGTGTTTATGTTTTGTTTCAAAACGATCTGGACTTCTCTTTGTCTCTGTATTCAAACTCAGTTCTACTTAATTATATAAATAATATACATTTCAACATAAATAATTAAGTTTTCATTTACTTTCCTTTCAATTTTGGAGGGATTGATTTTGGTGAATTAGAAGGAAAGTTAATTCATCAACTTTTTCATCATTCCTACTTTTTTTCCTTACCAAACATGATGTTTTATCTGTCTCTTCAACTTTCTATCCTTCTATTTTTTTAACGTACCAAACAGAGTATAAGTGTAGGAGTATGTCTAACTATAATTCAAATTTTTATTTAAATTTAAATTAATATTTGAGTAAAAAGTTTGATTTGATATGAATGACTCTAATGGACAAACTCCAATTTAAAGAAAAAAAACTTAAACTTAAATGAGGGTAAATCCAAAATTAAATGAGAGTAAAAATGACTATTAAATTTTTAAAAGAGAACAAAATATCACCATTAAAGATTTGTGTAAAGATTTGAGTCTCGCTTTATTTGATATAAATTTGAGTCAAAGGTTAGAACAAATTTTTTAAATTCTTTTACTCAAATATAAATTTGAGTCGAAATTAAAAATGTTAGAAGAGAAATATACATATACAAGTTGAAGATTCAATTTGAAAAGTATATTATAGGGTACAAATGAGTTTTTATTTTTTATTATACCATGATTTATATTAATTTTTATTAAATTAATAATTCAAAAAACTTTATATATAACATAGTCGCTCCAAACAATATTTCTGTTTTTATTGTTTTATACGTTATTGTCTGAACATATTTTTTTGTTCCGTATAATTATTTTTTAAAATTATATTATCAAACAAATTTTACGATAAAAAAATTTAAACATACTTTTTTATAACTTTTTTTATAAATTCTTTTCGAATACTGTATTTCAAGATTCAATCCAAACAGATCTCGTACAAACTGCCCTTCTTTATGGAGAAAATCTAAACAAACAACTTTTCAAAACATCCACCAAATTTTCAGTTTTTTTAAAAAAAAAAAACATAAAACACTAAACCCTTAATCTAAACTGTTCTTTATTTTCTAAACCCATCAGCTACAATTGAACTAAAACAATTAAATATCAGAATAAAATACATATGGTAAGAAGTAAAAACCCATATCCGATAATAACAATAATAGCATAATTGCAGGGGAAAAACATAATAATAACTCCATTACATCATAAAATGCACTTAATAACGTTTCCAACCCTCAGATCTCACCAAATTAGAAATCAACCCCCTAATTCTCTGCCTCAAACGCCGACGCCGGAAAAGACCTGGAAATTCCAGTCGGAGTCCCAAAGGTGATTTTCCCCGATTTCGGGTCGTCGATATAGATCTCTGAGATGGTGACCCAGATCAGAATCTCCTTGCTCTTGACACCTGTCAGTTTCTTCATCTTACGTTCCTCGACGAACGCCGTGACCTCCGTATCGTAGAACACCGACTTGCCGATCGCTTGGAACTTGTGCTGCTTGCTCTTCTTCTGCTTCACCCACACGAATCCCGTGGTGTGGTTGTACCCGACCTCAACGAAGTCCTCGAGGGGGAGAAGACCGGTGGGGAGAGAGATTTTCTCGAGGAGTTCGCGCGATTTTTGCTTGCAGAGGGCTTCGCCGTGTATACTTCAGCGTTTTCGCGGTGGTTGGCGATCAATTGGGACGACATTTTGGTGGGTTTGGAGTTGAATTTGAAGGGGTTTGATGTGTGAGGAAATGAACTGAAGGAGAGAGATGGAGAGGCCGTGTGGACCTGGTGGGTATATATGGGGGCTGGTCTGTGGATGAAGTTACTGAAATAGCCTTTGGCTTTGATTTGTATGAGATAAATGGCGTCAGACGAATATGAATCAAATAATTTATATAATACTAAGAGAATATTACGTAACTCAAATTTGTATATTAAATTTACATTTTAAATGAAGAGATCATTGAATTAGTGAATTTTATCAATTTTTTTTTACTGTTCCAATGATTCCCTTCATTTAAGATGCAAATTTAGCTTGTAAATTTGTGTTACATAGCATTACTAAAAAATAAAATATATAGATAGTTAAATTTTATCTCCTATATATTTTTCTCTCAAAAATTATTACATTATTCATTTCTATCACACATTTAATTATTTAATATTTAATTAATTTTTAGTTTAATATAATTTTTATTTCAAATATAATCCGTACACGATAGTATATATATGTTGAAGAAAAGAAAAATTATTGTTTAATATAATAGAATCAATTTTTTTGCTCTAATTTTAAATTCTATTGTGCCTTCAGGCACGAGATATTACAAATTATTTAATGAAATAGAGTTGAAATATTTAAAATTCAAATTATATTTGATAAAACTTAGTTTTAAGTGAATTTAATGAGTAAATTTTATTTTATACCTTAAAAAATTTAAAAATTTTTACTTTATAACTTTAAAGATTAAAATTTTCACATCATACCCTGAATGTATTAAAAGTATTGTAATGTGACGATATCGTTAGATTCAATAACTTTTTTTGTCAATGTCAATGAAATAATTTTTGATAGAAAAAAATAAAAGAAATTAACTGAAGAAACATATTAAAATACTTTTAATACATTCAACTTGCAATATAAAAAATATAATCTTTTATGATACAAAATAAAAATTTTTAAATCTTTTAGAGTATAAAATAAAATTTCACCAAAGTTTAATAGGATGGTGGAAAGCATTCAAATATGGACAAAAAGGATTAGATACGATTTTCAGCATTTTTGGGTTAGTAAAGTTTCGAATGAGGCAGTCCATGAGTTAGTATAGAAGCATGTACTAAATCTTTAAATCAATAAGATTTTAATTGTTGCTTATAAAAAAAAGAGTTTGGGCCGATTTTGAATTGGATGATTAAATTTTAATGGTTTTGGAAATAAGATATTTGAATCAAGTTCGGATGTGTTTTCAATTAAATTTAGATTCAAAAATGACAAAATTTGATTCGAGTCTGATTGCTAAGATGTCCAAAGTTTGGTAAACTTGAAGTGGTTTTCAAAAATTGATAAATATTTCATTCCAAAAATGAAAAATTAATTCTTTATTTATGGATTAAGATCATCTCTAGTCCTTGAAGCCCCTAAATCCCTTACTTTTATATTTTCTTTTGTGTATTAATGTGAACTTTATTAATTAATATACAATAAAATCCGCTTAAATATATGATAGATAATATAAAATTTAAAAATCTTAGCATAGAGAAGGATCCGAGTCACCTCTATTCATTTGTATGGCTCCTTTTATAATCTTGGTTATTAACATTTATTTCAGTTTGTTTATATGCATGTGTGAAAGGTACTCAAGTAGCCCTTTGATTGTTGGTTTTCTGTTTTTTTTTTGGGGGTGGGGGAGATTTAAGGGTATTTATTGCAAGCAATTTTCCTATCTTTTTTAATGTATAGTGACAAAGATTGAGATATTCTCTATTATTTTTTTATACAATTTCACTTGCTGATATATCATCTACCATATACGGACATGAGACCCATTATTTATAAGTGAGCCTTTCATCTCATACAAGGCTAATGATTTACCATTAAATAAAATTGAATGATAGTGTAATGAATAGAATTTACATCCTAGTAATGAAAATGAGGTAATTAATCGTATTAGCGTTATTTCGGTAATACAATAGATAACACTTTGTCAATGGAATGTAATTTCCATTTTTGTAAGTGGTTTTCAAATCAACTTTTTTTTTTTCTATTCTTAAGAATAGTTTCAATCATTTACTCTTTGGACTTGTGAAGTTTTTAAAAATTACTAATAATCACGTAAATTTTTAAATAACAAAATATATTTAAGTGAGATAAGAGTGTGAATTAGTTGGATATCTTGGGATGGGAATGGTGTTTATTTTGAAGTTGAAAAACATTTATTGTAATCCATGGTTTCGTGGTTTTGTTAACCTATTTTTTGACTAAACTTTTATTTCAATTTGCTATTTTGTAGTTGCAGACAACCAAGTTTTTGTTTTTAAGCAATGAAGTGCAAAAGTGCAAGAGCCGACACCTTGATGTGACTTCGGTGGGCTTTGTTGGTGTGGATGTATTGTTAATATAATGTATTATTGTTACCGATGCAATTGAAAGTTTTGGAGATCAAATAGACATACGCATATTTTGAAGACTAAAATATTTTACCAATTTTTTTTGATAAATCACTTGTCATGAATTTAAGTAGAATTTTTTTGGAAATAAGTGTCATGAACTATGCAGCTCTCGTAGTCATGAACCTAGGACGACATGGTTTTGTTGTTATTTTGTTCTCCGAACTATGCAGCAATTTCCATTTAAAAAGATAATGGACGTTTGGATGTAGGGCAAAGTGAAATAATCAAAGTAATGGAAGGGACAATGTGAAACAATCAATAGCAGTGTTTTAAAATCCGATCTGACAAGTTGACTCAAAAAATCGATGACCCAGTGCTTGAACTGGGTCGGTTCTGTAATTAGATCGTTCAAGTAAGTTGCCCGACTTTATCTCATCAAACTGGTTGGTTTTTTTATCAATCCGTGCAAACCGGTCGGGTCATTCATAATCGGGCGAGTCTCCCTATTTCATTAAAAAACACCTAACACAATTAGGATTCAGGTCCCAATCCCAGATATGGGAGCCCCATAACAGAAGCTCACAGTCACCCCGTATTCCTCTTCTTTTGCGATCTCTTCTCTGGACAGTGACGAGATCCAATATGTAACAATCACTATCTTTTTCCTATGTTCTTTGATTTTACGTCAAGGACTACGAGAGCGTTGAATACAAAGGCATAACTTGGAGAGGATTGCGGTGGTGCACGTGGCGGGACAGTTATAGGAGGGTTTGAAGACGATGGAGGAGGAGACGGCAACAGTGACAGATAGGTCTTAGTGGTGCTAACGGTATTGAGGATGAATTTGTTCACGGTTGTGATTTTGTGTTCTTCTATTGCTCCATGAAAGGCCCATGTTTAAGAGAGAGATCCATATGAAGAAAAAAAAGGGAAATTGGTGGGGGAGTACATTTTTTTTGAAAATGTTCCCGGAAAAGTCTATTGCCCAAATTTTTAAGTTAGTAAGTATACTTTCTATAAAACATTTGGTGGATAACTACATAATTTCAAAATTTCATATTTTAGTAATATCTAAATGCCCTTGCTTATTTTATGCAATATCTAGTAGTTTCGTTTTTTTTTTTTATTGTGTTTGTTCGACTGAGTGGTTTCCTATTTTAATGGACAATTAAGCGTTTGAATTTTAAAAAGATTACAAATTTTTTGGCAGTTAATATTTTTGCTTTTTCATATCTTCATTTTTCAAATTTATGTTTTTCATACAACAACCGATAAGCATTGTCAATCTTTTACAAGAAGAGTTATCAATTTTCTAGTATTTTCTCAAGTCAGATTATTTTTTTTTTCATTTTTTTTTCACAAACAGTTGGCGTCATTCATGTTCATATAATTATTTCAGTTACCATTTGTTAAACTTCTTTGATTTGAAGACTAAACTTTACCCAGCAAAAACATAGTTCTACGTTTTTTTATTCTTCAAAGGGATTATGTATTCAACTATGTGAATGTTGTTGCAAATTTTTTCACTTAATAATTTATTGTTATAAGAATTGCATGGTGTTTGTCTGTCATATTCATGTCACGGGGTTTTTGTACTGTGTTAGCTAATTTTTATTCATTTATGTGAAAACAATGACATGAAGAACAATAGAGGATACCATAATGACGATATGCAGATACGGTAGTGAGACATCAGTCCTCAGATTTTATGTTGGTTCAATGTTAGATGACGTTGTGTGTGGGATCCGTGACACATGAGATTGTTTGACGTGTTGTTGATGATATTGATTTTATTGAAGATATTGAATTACATGATGTTGGATTTGATTCAGGGGAAGACTTGCTTCCTTGGTTTAGTTCGCATAATGAGAGTTTTACTCTCTTCTGGTTGGATAAATAAAATTCGGCATGAGGGACAAAAGTTTGAAGGTGGTGTGTCACAGTTTTGTAATACTCTTTGCAAATACTCAATCGAGGTTGGATTTAAATTTAATCATGTTAAGAATTGTAAAGAGAGGGTTATCGTCGAGTGTGCTTCAAAGTATTCTACTGGATGTGGGTGGCGTATTAATGCAACTCTCCAGAAGGTAAATGATTTTTTCTACATAAGAAAATTGTATAACGAACACACATGTGGGGCTGCTCTATTTACAGTACAAAATAAGTGGCTCAGTTCCAATCTGATTGTGGAATTGATTGTTGATCACGTTCATGAAAAGAGCTCTACTCGGCCCATTGAAGTTGTTAATGATTTTAATTCGGATTATGGTCTAACAATATCTTATGATCGAGCATGGATGAGTGTTTAAAACGCAAGAGGAATGCTTTTTGGTGATCATAATTTATCATACCAACAATTATGTTGGTATGTTGATGCTGCGAACAGTACCAACCCTGACAGTCATTAAGTTTTAGATTGTGATCAGGAGTCTAATCGTTTTCAGAAATTATTCGTGTCATTTAAGGCATCCATCGATGGTTTTAATTATTGTCATCCATTATTATTTGTTGATGGAACTTTTTTGAAAGGTAGATACAAAGGAAATATTCTTTTGTCAACTGGCAAAGATGGAAACCAAGGTACAATTATTTTT